GAAGCGGTTTCTATACTTCATGAGCATTCCCCGCCCCCGACACCCCTCCCATAAGATCTCTATTTCCTTAACCTAAAAAGGATAAGCATGTCACTAAACAAGACATAATGCAAAAGTTCATTTCGAGCCTTGCTCCAACACAGTGTTTATTTGTCTAATCTATACATAATGATTTATGCTCTTGGAAAAAAATACTAGTGGAGATTTGACATCTGCAAGCTGGGCAACTTCTATATTAAACCTTATAGATGGGTTTCATGATGCAGAAGAAACTGGCAGACTGCATTTGAGATACTGCAGAAAAACAAGCTACCTTTGAGTCAATGCAGAAGAAAGGAAAATGCAAAAGAAACAAATTAGTATCCATTTATTTCCAGCAAAACCCTGATGTCATATATACACAAGACTGACAAAAAGGTATGTTAAGCCAGTGGTTCTCAACCTTTACAGAGGCATGGCACCCCTTGTTAGATTCAAGACACCCTCTCCATAACTCTTGTGAACTGGTGCAGGGGGGCTGGACCCAATGACCTCCCAAGGTCCCTTCCAGCCTCACAATCTATGAATCTATGAAGTGAGCACCCCTCATTTCAAGAACCAATTTATTTCTTACAGTGCTTACCTCCTTCCAGAGGGGCTGGGTAGTGGAGGCAACCAAGCAGAAAGAGCCTGAGCCAGCCCTTATGTGCTTATCTCCTCTGACTTGGAGCCTGATCCTGCCCTTACCTACTTATCTTCTCACACCTCCTCTAGCACCCTCAGAGGATCTCGGAGCATCCCAAAGCATCCCAGCACGATGGTTAAGAATCACCATATTAAACATTAACTATCACAGAAATAACACAGCAGGTGGTGCTTACTCCAGTTCTGAACACTTCACAAAGGGTAGTACTACAGTTCTGACTCTGGAGGGTTTACAGTGCATACCTGGCTCCTTTAGTGCCTTTCTCTGAACTTTGTATAACACCCAAAGGTGGCATTTACTTAATACCTAACATAAAAGAACAAAGTAAAGTGTGCAAGTATTATATATACACCATGTTAAAAATCACATGCAAATTAACTGACAGGACCTATAATCACCCTACCAAGAAGCTGGGAGGGCTTAAGCCCCTGGAGCCCCTCCTCTGATGGCATTGTGCCAAGGTTTCACCCACTGTCCAGCCTTTCTATTATTTTTGTATTGTTTTTTTCCCCCAAGAGTTTCACAGATAACAAGTATGTTATGGGGTAAGAACAGATGCATCCTGTATAATTTAAGTACAAGATAAATTACATGTGGCACTACAGACCCAGGCAAATTGCATTCAGGCTCTGACAGTGCTTCTTTTGACTAAGCTGACAAGCCTACCTTATAATTATATGAAAAAAACCACAAAACAAACTTTTTGCAGGTACACATCTTTAAATACTGTAAGTTTCTTCAACAAGGCAAATTACTTTGGCAATAATTGTTTGCTAACTGATTAAATCTTGGAACATCACTTGGTAATTGTGACATTAAGTGATATATTTACCCACTGGAGATGGCTTGCTTTTGACATTAAGCGGTTTGTGACGACATCCACAGTAACAATGGGGCCTTTGTTATATATGGAAGTCAGGCACTGATAATAAAAGTTGTGATAACAGACAATGTGTGATATAAAAAAGAATGATATTATCTGGGTCTGACTGTCCTAAACAACCCAATACAAATTATGTTCTATTTTAAAACATGTCTGCTTATGCCTAAAGTTCTGTGCATATTAAATTGAACTTGCAGTAGTAGTTAAGCACATGCATACGTGCTTATTGGTGAGGAACAATAGTCTCGGCACAATTTATCCAGGGAACCAAGTCAAGCAAACAAAACCTGAAGTAACGGAAGCCTTAGAGAGGATGCACTCCAGCCTCATTTCCTCAAATTTATGCAAAAGTAAAACAAAAATCAAATCACGAAAAAGCCATTCCAGCTAACATATGAAGCTTTTTATCACATCAGGTAGCTGTCTTCTGCTCCAATACCCTTGTGGAATCAAAAAAGCAACAAAAGAAAACTGACTCATCTTTGCCACTGATGCACACACCATCTGGCATTTACACCCACCTCACGTTCTCCTCTCCCTACTCCCCACACCAAGATTCAGCCAAAATGTACTGATTTTTTCAAAGAAAAAAAAAAGGATCAAATGGGCTGTGTAAACTATTGGTAGGAACCTATCAAATTTGCAAGTACACGATTTGTGCAAAAAAACCTCAAATTTGGGCAGGCTCTGAGAAAAATTACAGACTTGCTGCCAAAAAAAAGACTGAAAATAAAATGTTGCCTTCCCAGGAGAAGCCAGCAGTCTTCATGGACCTCCCCACACACGCAGCCACCAGAGGAGAACGGAGAAGGGGGGGGGGGGGGGGGGGGGGGGGGTGCCAGGTGGTTTGTTGTGTCTGGTGCGGGCTGCGGGGGGGGGGGCGGTGTTCTACTGGACCGAAAGGCTGCTGACTGGCAAGATGGCTGCCTATCATGCAGCTCCACCCCTCCCCACCAATCAGCGGCAAGGTGCAGGATCACATGGAGAGCCCTTGCAACCAATTGGTGAGGAGGGTGGGGCATGACAGACAGCCCTTGTAACCAATCATCAGCAAAGGGCCGCACTCAGTCTGTAAAAATGGCAGCCGGCCCTGGGATCTGCCGCAAAAATCAGCAAGCCATATCCTCGTGTTAGGTAGACCCCTAACTACTGGGTATCAAAAACAATTTAATACTCCTGGGTATTAAAAAGAATTAAAACGATCATTAAAAATTGACATACCTTGCAAGTTCCATAATTAGCTGAGGGACACTTTCTTTTAGAAATGCCCAAAATGTTTTCCCTGAGTGAATAGAACTAAAAGCAAATCTCTATCTATTTACATTTTCTTTCTATTATGGCAAGGAACACAAAGCTCAAATCACATGCACCATGATTTGCACCATAGCATTAAATAAGAGAGAGAGAGAGAGAAACAAGAGCCAGCTAAGTATTACGATAATGTTACATTTTATTTCACTGTAGTTATGTTTTTCTTCAAAAAAAAAAAAAGAATTACATTATGGGAAGTTCTATTTTTAATTACATATAGTCATGTGGATCCTCTCTCAAGCAATTCTTAAACTGTGGTATAGTTCTGTCATGCTGTGAAAGGAAGAATTTGAGTAACTTTGCATTATTTAACTCTCAAATCTTGAGAGATGATGTTGAAACTTTTGAGGCATTAAGCAAAATTTAACATAAAGAAGAAAGTACACAGAACACACTGGTCATCAGTGTATGTGCCAGAACCCCATTTACCACAACTCCGTAACAGTATTCTATCACTCCCATCAAAAGAAGATACTAATCTGTAGTTTTGCAGTAGGAGACATGTTTCCCATTCACTGCAAAATATTGTTTTACAAGTTACAAAACAGTATTTCAATCAAGTTTACAATGGTACTTATAGCTTCTCTATAAAGCAAAATAGCTTTTCAGTACATTTATCCAGATATTACAGTTTTGCTTTCAGAACCAGAGAAACAATAAGATGGAGTTAAATACACATGGAGCAGGAAAAAAGAGAACAAGCCTTCTCAGTATGCCAATCCAGAGTGGAGTACAGAGGCTATGTGCCAGCACACTATTCAGAAGACTCCTGTATACCCCACATACTGCAAAGGGACAGAACCTACTCTGGCTCTAAACAGCCTAGTGAACAGGATAGGTTTCAAGGCAGGCTGAGATAAGGTGGGAGTGTGAGGAGCATGCACTGGTAGCAAGGGACCTCAGCTGCATCTCACAGACAGCTTTCTGGTTGTGGGGCTGAAAGGCAAATTTTATCCTTCACACAAAGCCAGATCACTTGAGTTTGTCCAAAAGGTTGAATTCCACCCTCTCTCCTGCAAAAGCTGAGCTGGACATGGATAACTGATACAGAACCATTTGAAGAAAAGGTAGGAATGATACTTCCTTCCTTTGTAAAGCACTTTAAGATCTACCCATAAAAGCCCTGTATCAGAGGGCTATAATCACCAATTCCTACTGTAGTCATGTAAAACAGGCACCAGTCAAGAGGTGGGAGTAGGGAAGGACTAATCAGCAGGCACTGCAGTGTAGTTACCTACCTGTGTATACCCAGCATACACCTTTAGTGTAGAGTATGGTTCTGCTATGTTACATATATTATACAATAAACTGGCTAATCACACAATAAATTTAGACTGATCTCATGTGCAAAGTAAGACCAGCAACAACTGGGAAGTAATTATCACATAATTAGCTAATTAATTGTGCAATAAATTTAGACCAGCCACGTGTGCTATTATCACATCATAAAAATGACTATTGAGTTATAAAAAGAGCCAACCAGCTACAAAAATAGTGCTTGAAAATGTGTAACATCTCCATAGATGGTTTCTATCCAGCTTTAATTTGAATGTGTAGCAGGGCCCATAGATACACCAGAGTTAGCTTTGGCTATCCAACTGGATATTATGCAACATCTTGGGCAGAGCTAGATGCAGTTAAACTGCCACCAGTACCTGGGCTAACTAGCACAGTGGCACCAACAGACACAATGTTATTAGGTAAAACAATGCTTATACTAACAATAGTCCCAACTAAATCATCATATGTTAAGGAAGGCAACATTTTGCTATTTATTCAGTCAACTCAATCAGGGTACCTGCTCTACATTTAAAAGGGTTTGTCAAAGCTGATAGAGCTATACCCAAAAAACCTTCTAGTGGAGAATGCAGCTTATGGAAGCACCAGAGGTCTTTGACCAATATAACTCATCATACTTGGGTAAAATTCTATCTG